CCACGAGCTGCTAAAAGAACAAAGATCTGTGTTGGAAGTACAGTCAGAGTGCTCCTTGGAAGCCAGGATGTCCAGACTTTGTCTCTTACACTTCAAAAATATTATCAGGAGGGACCAGTCCCTAGAGAAGGAACAATATTTGGTAAAGTGGAGGGTCAAGGAAAAAGAGGAAGATCTCCAGAGAGATGGATTGGCACAGTGGCAGCATCAGTGGGCTCAGGTGTAGTAACAATTGTGAGGTTGGCCCAGGACCGGGCAGTGTTTGATTTTGTTGTGCATAGGGTCACTTATGAGTCAGTACCCCCCCAACTCAATGGTATCTCACAACAACAATAAAAACTTCTAAATATAAAGTTTACTGAAGAACAATAGTAATGTTCAGGACTTAAGTTGCAGGGAATGACAAAGATGGTTGACAATGAAACAAAAAATACATTACTGCAAGATAGGGACTGAGTGAAAACCTAAGTCAATTTTGCATTATAATTTTATGAAAGAAATGCTATCCTCTGATACAAGATACATATACATTTTTATTCTAATAAGAGCTCCTTTGTTGTTAAGTGCTGTCGATTTGGGTTCCAACCCATAGCCACCCTGTAAAGGGTTTCCAAGGAGCAGCTGGTGAACTTGAACCACAGGCCTCCCCGTTCAAGTAGACTTTGCAGTCCAGCGCATTAAACCAACAGTGCCACACCAGGACTCCTGGTCTATTATTATTTTATATAAACTTGGATCGTACATGTTAATAAGATTTCAGAACATTCTTTGAAATTAACCTTAAACCTAAACGTACTCTTTGACCCTTGACACTTGAGAAAATGGTTAGAACCTGACTCTTTTACTAAAGGTAGAAAATAAATGAGTTACAGTTGCTCTTCAACATTTATCTGGATGATCAAGGCTTTGGAATAGATCATTCTGGTTTAACCTCCAGGTTAAGCCCCAGATACACTGTATCAGCGTCTCAATTTTACTTGCAATCAGTTACAATCTACAAGTATACTAACAATCACCTGGAGATCATTTGGGGTAGAAATGCAAATTCTTAGCAGGTGGTGAAACTAGAATGAACTGGTTCAAAGTCTGGTTTTAATTACTCTCACCCACTCCATTTCAAATATGTCATCTCATTTTGGGGAAGGAGACACAGAAACTGCTAACAGTGGCTGCCTTTGTGTATGAGAGGTGGGTTTGCAGTAGGAAGAAGCCTTTTACTTTTCATTTTGTACCTTTGTCAGTGTTTAAGAAAAACTAACCTGAATTCACAAGCCCTTCACGACAAAGCATAGTAACACCCCAAACATCCAAACCTTTGATTAAGGCATGTTACATCAAGTTTTTTATTTACAATGTTCTTCCAAGTGTGATCCAAGCACCACCTTCCTGGGAATCACTTGGGATGTTTGTTTATAATGTAGGTCCTTTGGCTCTAAGGACATTTTCATTACCTCTGGTGTGCATCCCTGGGCTTTGCTTTTTTGTTGTGTTTTCCCTGCAGATTCACTTTTTCTTTGGTTAATGAGTTAAGCTGTAACTGTTCAGCAGTGTAGAGCACTCTCTTGGAGGCAGGGGTGAGGGTGTGAGAATGTGGGGGTGGGGGTCAAAGGACTGCTTCAAATGTAAACCTGTTGTTTGGCCCCAGAGAGAACTGATCTTATTTTTATATGTTTGACAAGAAGAGCCTGAGAAATGGCAAGTCTCAAAGGGTTCGTAGAGTCTAGAGCACCTCATGGACTAATTTAACAGAATAACAATTTCTTTCGTTTCTAAAGGCCAAGCAAATGCTACAAGGAGTGGACAAAATGTATCCTCAATAAATAAAAGAGATTTTTGAAGATGGAAAGGAAGAGAAAGTAGGGTACCAGCGTGGGAAGGGCTGAAAGAAACAACTGACAGAACACAATAAAGAAGGGCTATGCCATCGGTAAGGCAATTTATACGTTTACTGATGATGGTATTTCAAAACAATCTTAACAAAAGAACAATCTTTTGAAGAGAATGCTTTAGTTTACTAAATGAAACATTTCTTTCAAACATAACATGCAAAAGATTTTCAAATATGCCATCAGAAAAGCCCTTGGGTTGATATACAGACATCTCAACAGTAATTTTCACAAGTTCTCCTCCATATTACATTAGACAGTTGTCTTGTGTGTGTGTGCGTTTACCTGTTTCTCAGGATGATGTACCATATTTTAGTTAGGCTCCTTGGAATCTGTTTTGCTCACACTGAGAAACGAGGTGGTGGTTACTTTTGGTCAATGGGTGAGGACTTATCCTTCGCTATATAAGATGGTGATAAACAGTTTAATTTTTGAATATAGAATGGTCTATCTAATACTACATTTTTTTGGTGAAGTTTCTTTTTGGTCCTTGGTGGCTTAAGTTCTTCTTTGTGATTTTCTGGAAAAGACAGAGGTATAGGTGATACTGGTATTGGAGACCTGGCTGGAAGACATCTTGTTGAGGCCATTTTAAGCAGTGATTGAGTTGTTTGGGCAGTACTAGGCTTGGTCGAGAGATCTTGGCATGGGTTTAAAATAGGGTTTGGAGAGTTCTTAAAGTCATCAGAACTTGCAATCATTTCTTTTGTAGTAGATGAATTTTGTAGAGATGTTGGTCTAGCATTCCATCTATACTTTCCAGCATTGCTCCAATTCCATTTTGAAGCAGTTTGCTCAAGTTTGCTAGAACCAGAATTGCTTTTTCTTTTTTCTCGACTTTTATCTACACAAGTTGTCTGAAGACTCAAAGACTCTGAAGGTTTTGGCTGTTTCACTTTGGGCATAGCTTTGGAGGAAGAGGGCCGTTCAGTAGCTGCTAGAGTGTATAAATTACTTTGCAGTCTTGTCCTTTCTTTTTGAATAGTCACATGCTGTATTCTTTCCATTTCCAGTAAACGAGTTATTAAGTGTTCAACAGAGCTTTCTGATGGGTCCACGGATGCTTTCCAGTTTTCAGATTTTGAGAGGGCTAATTTGTGCAAGTCCAGACTATTGAAAGGTGGAGGAAGAAAATCAGGATATGGAAAGACTTCACTTGGTTCCTCTGTGGAAGATTCTTCAAAGTTTTCTATTGTGTCTGGCTTTAAGTCCAGGTCCATCTTTTTAAAATAGTTGAGTAAAGTATCATTTGCTTTTTCATTTTCTGATAAATCACTTTCATCTGTTAAGTTTCCGTCTACATTGTTGTTTTCGTATTTAAAATTCCAGTTTAGAGCAGACAGTGTTTCACTACTGCTCCTTTCTATAGCCGAACATAAATTATTATGAGGCTCATTTCTGTCCTTAAAAAAATCTCCATCTGCATAGGGCCAACAGAGTCCTAGTGGCATCTGTTGTTGTAGTCCAGGGTAAGGACCAGCTTGCTTATCAACTGCAGGGCTTGTTAGTGAGTGGTTCAGAGTTAAAAGCCTCATGGGGTTGTTGGTTATATTAAAGCCAGTTTCTACTGAAGATAGTTTGCAATCCCTTTAAAAATAATTTAATTAATGAATAACAAATTCAAATGCTAATGAAAAATATAAATAAGTCACCATTCTTACCGATTGTTACCAAACTGTTTAGTTTGCATATCTTTCTGTCTGTTTAGTTTGTATATATTTCTGTCTGTCTGTAACAGGCATATGTTGATTTGAAAGCTATATAGTTCTTTACAAGTATAAGGTAAAAGCTTAAGCAAGCATCCCTCTGTGCAAGTACAGGTGAGAAGCTCATCATACCTACACATGGCTACCTGTGGCTATGAAGTGCCACTAAGTTAAAAGGAGCTATTTGCCTATTGTATTAATGATATCTAAAGAGGATTTTAGATAGCATACTATTAAATACCATAACATTTTAGGTATTACAATAGTATAACTAAAAAGGAGAATCTCCAACTCAAATTGAAATTATAGTGGAATGTTTATCAACTGACAATCAGATTTAAGGGTACAAAAAAATGTAGTAGGCTACTTTTTAAATGGCTTCTACTTTGTTGTTGTTATGTGCCGTGGAGTCGGTTCCGACTCATAGTGACCCTGCACAGGGTTTCCGAGGCTATAAATCTTTACGGGAGCAGAGTCTCATCTCTCCCCGTGAAACAGCTGGTAGTTTCGAACTACTGACCCTGAGGTTCGCAGCCCAATTCGTAACCACTATGCTACCAGAGCTCCTTGGCTTCTACTTTAGGCATGGTTTAAAAGAATTACTCTAACAAAAAGGAAACAAAAACAATGTCTACCCAACAAAAATGATCCCAGGTACAATCCACAGTAATTATCATCTGAGAATATTCTTTTACTTTAGGAATAATAATTCTAGAAGCTGTATTAAAATGGAAAGTACAAAGTAACCAAGCTATAAAATATCAAGTTTCTAGTTGGTTTTTCAGGATCTCTGGTAGCACAGTGAGTTATGAGTTGGGCTGCTAACTGCAGGGTCAGCAGTTCGAATCTACCTGTCATCCCAAGGGAGAAAGATGAAGCTTTCTGCTCCTGTAAAGAATTATAGCCTTAGAACCCCCATACAGGGTCACTACCAGTTGGAACCAACTCACTGGCACACACCCACCACCAGTTCATTTTTCTTTTCTTTTTTAAATTTCACTAGAAATACTGACATTGGAAGATGATTTGATACGTAAGTTGACTGTCAATATCTTCTTGCAGCTTTAAGGCCAGTTTACATTAAAGCTATCAGAGTAATAGCTAAGATTTTGAGAAATATTTTCATTTCTGTTGAAATGACAGAAATTCATTTACTTAACTAAATACTTGGTGTTCTGTCTTGACTTTGAAAAACCACAGGAACATTACTTCAAATCTACAATTAGCAGTAGACACAGATCCATGTAGTTTGGTAAAAAATGCATGGTAGACCTAGGATTGAGCCCCTTCACCACCAAGTGATCAAAATGGAAATGACAACGTCTCCTTTGGAGTAGGTGGGTAAGATCATTTATAGGAATGTACTAATTTAGCAAAAATTTAAATGCGAAACCAAGTTATCATTATTTCATTCTATTTACATATTGATGGTACATTGAGAAAAATATCAGTCACATAATGTTTCATTCATTAATAGCAAACCTCACCCTCTGCTCCATTATTAGTCCTTCCCCACACAACAGTAACTATCACGCACAGTCTTCTGTATAAGCCTCACGAGAGCCACTGGAGACAGGGCCCTTTATTCTCCACCTTTGACACATAACAAAATGGAGGCACCTTTGCTGGTAAGGTCACACATCTAAGTGGCAGAGCAGGGATGTGAGCCCAGGTGGTGGGATACCATGCCTAGAGCTTCGCCTGCACACTCCTGCCTCAGTTCCAGGTTGTTGTTGTTGTTGTTGTT